ATTAAAAAATATTAAAATATTTAATCTCATTTATAAAATTGATGAGATATAATATAAATTTTACATATATATATATATCATTCATAAAATTGTTACTTTTAAATTTATTAAGGTCTTTAATAACATAACATTTTAATTTTTACTCTTTTTTTTTTAGTTTTTGCATTTTGATTGTCCTGTTTTTTCCTTTGGAGGTGATATAAGGATTCAGTGAAAATTTCTTGGCTGATTTTACACGATGTTTTTTTTTTTTAATGAACTGAAGTTAAATGATTTTACACGATGTTTGAGACCTACTTGAGTGACGTGCTTGACTTTAGTGACGTGCTTGACTTTAGTGATTGCTTTTAGGGACTTCAAACTTCAAATTGTCGGTAAATGAGCTTGACTGACCCCATTTCACAAGTCTGGACCTTCGGATTTCTGTCATTTTTGGACGGTGTGACTCAAAGTTTCGGTTTGAATAAAGTCTGATTTACATTGTTCATATCGGTGGTCAAGTTTTTAACCATCATTGGGATCATCTCTAGTCTTTTTCTCTATATTCTGGGTGTGGATTGAGCTGCACCCTTCATCTCGGCGGCATCTTAAAATAATATTTTCTTGAGAGACAGCTATGAATTGATGTCAAAATCTTCCACTTCCTGATATTTTCTGCTTAACCACCAAGCAAATGTTGCTCTCTTTTATTGTAGGTTATGATGATTCTTGGATCCCGGAGTTCACGCTTTTTAATTCTCCCACACGTGCACTCTAGAAAGAGAGGAAAAAAGCAACTCGTAAAAGCAAGGTAGAAACCCAAAGAAAAAAAAAAAAAAAGCAAGGTAGAATATTGATTGCATGATCAAAGATGGATAGTTCGAGGAAATATTAGATGCATTAGCTTTTTCTCGAACAAACCCATTAAACTACAGACCAGCTGGTTTGTAAAGTGTGAATTGTCATTCCAAGTTCTGTATTAATTGTTTCAAAGTTTACAGGTGGCTTAGTCCTGCTTTGTGAATGCTTCAAAGTCTTATGTGCAGAAGTTTCAAAAGTCCGCATTTAGTTTCAACAACAACCCATGACGAGAATGATTATGGGTTCTTCTTGACTCTTGACTTAACCTGACACGTATTCTTTACGTGTAAAGGTGTAATGAATATTCTTACATTTATACATGGATACATATGAGTATAACATCTCTAATAAGTCATAGTTTGTTGTCCTTGGTTTTCATTATGATATATATCGGTATATTTTTTTAGTAATTAATTATTTAATGTTGAACATTTTTGCAATAGCACAATACAAATAAAGCATCTAAAAAGTCATAACTTAGTTGATAAAGAAATTTGTCTTTTCCTTTTTTCATCAAGACCTAATTTTATAAAAAAATAATTTCTTACAAATTTTTTAGTTTTGATGTGAATTATTTGCTTTTAATCAAATTAAAAAAATAATTTTAAAATATGCACAAAATTACCAAAAAGAATACCTTCATTTGTATTTTTTTATTAAAAAAAAAAACCTAATACAGATAAAGCTACCGGCACAACATTGTACCTCAATATTAAACAAAGTTAAGGAAGTTACCTTTTACGCATCAAATCTTATAAATCAGTTGTTAAATGCTAAAAATTCTCTTTTCCCCTCCCTAAATTGCATCTGTTAAAAAGAAAAAAAAAAAAGGGTTAGTTTCTACGGATTTAGACGTTCTAAGCTGGACGTATGTATAACTTTTGACGAGACCCCATTTGATTAAATGATACAACGTCAAAATAAAATACTATAGTGCTTTAGAGTTATTTAACAGCCTAGCTCAAGATGATGGATCCATAACTTGTTCAATGCTCCAAAGAGTCAGCAAGTGATGACCCACGGGTCCTTAACTGGTGAGAAGATTTAGCCAAGACCAATGGCCTTAGTCGTTAGTGATGCTGTGCTGTGTTGTCTTGTTGTCCACTGTAATTGACCCAGAAGCAGTTGGTTACTACCAGAAAATAGTTGTGCATCATAAAGTAACCCAACTAATCTTCTAATTCATGACAGGTCTCCTGATTTAAAGCCTGTAATTGCTCTAGGAACTTAGCACTGAAGTTTTTTCTTCCTAGATTGATTGAATAAACAAGGCTCAGTGCGCTTTCTTATTCTTTCTTTTTTAGATGATGTTTTGAATTTTTTTTTATATTAAAAATTTATTTTTCAATTTAAATTGTAAAATAAATCTTAAAAAAAAAAGAAGGTAATTCATCAATGCTGAACTCCCTCCTGTTTAACAAGGTAGGGAGTAAATATGAATCTAAAATGTTTGCCCCATCAATTACTTCATTTTTTTAATGAAAAATTGAGACTTTTTTTTAATAAAGTAAAGTCAAGATTACATAAAATCTCTATAATACGACAAATATAGCCTAAACAAAAGAATTTTCTATGTTATTAGAACAAATTTAAACTATTCTCATAATAAATATTAAATAATTAAGTATAAAAAGTCATAAATATACACGCAACAGGCTGATTTTATAAAAATCTTGCCGATGACTTCAATTTCCTGATTTTGGTGAGTCTTCTAGTGTCACAAAAATTTAGTATTTCTTAACTCCAATTTAGATAAATTGCTAGACAATACTGTTAGAATCCAATCCAATATTCTTCTTTATTACCAGGAGTGTGCAGTGTGGTTGAGTCCCAAACAAAGCTTCGTACTCATTCTTACCATTGATATAGATTTTTTTTTTTTAATTGTGTCTTTAGAATATAGGTTAAAGGGTTAATGTACTCTTTTATAATGAATTTATATGTAAAGGATAAGTGTTGATTTTAAATTAATTAATTAAAATTATTTATATATCAATTGTATTAAAATAAATATCAATTTTTATAATTTTTTAAATAAATTAATTAAAAAATATATATTTATTATACCTTTAATCTATATCTTAATGTCCAAGTTAAACAATCTTTTTTTTTTTTTTTTGACTTTTCATTTTCTTAAATCTCTCATTTACTCAATATTTAAATATAAGACTTCCAACTTAAAGTAAGAGAGGAAAATTTAACAAAAGGCAGGTGTTATACCTGCTATTTGAACTTGGCAAGGCCTAGGGATCTCTGTTCTCTGATCAGTTGAATGAGTCCATCTTACACAATGGAGCTAAGGATGGCAAATGCAAGGTGTGATAATGCTGCTGTCATAGTGATTCGAACCCTTCCCTTTTGGATGTAGACTGAAACAATTGCCACTAGACCCACAGGCCATGACTTTCTTAAGAGTTAAGACAAATGGTACTCTTTTAACAGTCCAGAAGGGCCCAGTCCCAAATCTGATTTTTCTGATTTCAGATTGTCCAGAGCAGCCCAAATTCTGGGGATATTTAGACTGCTACGCAATCCAGCATAAAATTCTTCATCCGTACTAGACCCTCTTTTGGTTTGAATTAAGTCCTGTAGTTCAGAAAAGGACTCAGTTCAAGTCTTCATCCTGAGGAGGAATATGATCCTTAGCACGATGCCCAGGTAGAGGCCCTGACATGGCCATGTGTCTTCCCCAGACACAGTCTAAAAAACGGAGCATTTTCCCCTTTTTTTAAGGAATCAATTCTTTAGAAGAGCAACCATCTTAACAAGAGTTTCATATTTAATTAATTGTGGTATTCAATCTAAATTTTAAAACAAATAGCAGGAATTTGAAAGAGTTTGACGTTTTGTGATTTGAATTAAAAAATATTAATTATTAAATAGGAGGATTCTCTTTCATTATTATGAATTTTTTAATTTAATAATTAATATTTTATAATTTTATGTAATATAAACTATTAAACACTATAATAATTATAAAATATAAATTCTAATGGAGTAATTTAATGATTAAAAATTTAGGATTTTAAATTAAAAATTAAATTAAAAATCTTAAATTTGAGTTTTAAATTAGATGAAAAGATATTTAAAAATAATAATTTTTATATAACTTATAATCAAATGTATAAAAAAAATTAATAATTATAAAATATATATTTTTTATTTTAAAAATTAAAAAAAATTATTATATAACTCATTGCTTCAAATTTTAAAAAATAAAAATAAAAGAGGTAGGTGAAGTAAACAACATGGTTGTGTTGTGACCACCATATTTATCCTCCTCTCATCTCTAGGCTATTCCGCTGCAATGTTTACACAGTGGTGGACATGTTCATCACAGGAGAACAGGTCGACATGAACCATTTATGGCTTCCCCTACGGCAACGAGGGATGGCTTCAAAACCCAAACAGGTCTCATTCAAAGCCTAGTGTATTACGCAAAATTCATCAATCCATCAATCTGTCTATTCCCCCAAAGTTTATTTCTACCCAAATTTCACCGAGCACGTGGGGTCACTTGATTCACTCTCAGGACCAATCACCATTTCTTTCCCCTCCTACTCCTCAAAAATTCAGTATAGTCCATTTCTTGCCCTACACATTCCCCTATCTCCCTAGTATTCCTTTTAGCTTGACCCTCTCCCCGGAAGTGGTTAAGGCCAAGCACCCATATGCTAGATTTTTTATTTTTTTTTTGGAACATGAGAAATTACGATGGAATGGAAAATTTTTTTTAAGTGGTTTGTGGGGTTTGATTTTTTATGAATTGAATTTAAGTAAGAGGACAATTGTTAGATGACATAAATTTTATTTTATATTTTTATAAACAATAAAGTGTGATATTTAAAGATATTAATATATATATTAAATTTATTAAATAATAAACATTAATTATTTTATTATTTATTAAATAATAGTTATAATTATTAAATATTTTTAATAATTAAATTAATATTTAAAAATAAAATTTTAGAACTTTTATATTCTTAATAATTTATTATATAATGATAATCATATCCACTCCCGTTCCCTTTTTAACAGAAGAAATTAGACCAAAATATAGGTTTTTTTTTTTTTAACAAATTTCCAAAGATTGGATTTGAATCGTTGCCTTAAAGATGAAAAAATGTACTTATACGTTATCTGATACGATTAGATCCGGAAGCACAATGGCGACCAAAATATAGGTTTTGAAGCTGAGGAACTGAGAGAGAATTATAAATTTCAGCACAGGAAGAGCCGGTGCAACCAAAAGTCCTATGAAGAGATGTGACATATTCTACAGGGTAGAGGGCAGAGGACAAGCTTCGATGTTGTGTTGCCTGTGGCACCTAACACTACAGTTTGTTTGTTTTTTTTTTTAAAATAAAATGTGAATCTTATTATATCCAGTATAAACACTACAATTTCAAGTTGCCCAGCCGGCTATTAATTTCGATATGGCCCCACAAATTCACCAATTTTCTTTGCATTGTCTGTTGGCCTTCATGTGTTATACTTCTCCCCTAACACACCCCATTGAGACCCGTTCAACACCTCTCAAAAGTTTTATGGTGTCTAATACAAAAAATTATTATAAATTTTACTTCCAAATTAACCTAATCAAAGAAGAATTAATCTCAACTTAAATGTCAGTTAATCTAGACACATCCTAATTGTTAAACAAAAATAACAAAATTAACTATTGTAACATGTTCAGTATTCAGACTTTGCTAGTAACCAGCACAGGACAAGCCAAAACATATGACGTCCCTGCATTTACTTCTCCATGTTTCTATATTTTATTGTTGAATTTGCATATTCATAACATGGCCTTCTTACACAAGCCACCCCCACAACTCCACCAGCATACCAAACCCCCTCATTTCATTTATATATTATTCAGTACAATATCTTTTGTAGTTTGTGCCTGCCAGACATTACATCTCCCTTCTTCAACATATTTAGTTTAACCAACATCATCTCTGGTTCTTTCTCCTTCTCTGAAGTTTTTCCCTTTCTTTCTTTTCTCTTCCGGGTTTAAATGGGTAGAAAGCATCTAGTTCTGGTGCTGAGGTTAGTATTGCTTTTCATAGTCCTGGTTAGTCTAGTTCATGGCTCAAGATACACACACTTTTTCAAGGTGAAACCCATTCTCCGGAATCCACCACCGAGTGCTATCTCTGGGTTCTTGCCTAAGGGAATGCTTATCCCGCCTTCTGCTCCTTCCAAGGAGCATAATAGCATTGGGCTACAAAGTTCTTCAAGCGAATTTCCATGAAGATCAACAGAGAATTCAGCAGATAAAGAAATAGCAGGAGGAGTTCTTTGCTCCTTACCCGTCTCTTACAAGAATGGAGGTTGATTATTTATGGGATTGGTAAGTATAATTATCCTTCCTTTTTGTATTGTTGGTTTCTGCAGTTTGCTTAAGAAACACAGGCTACAGCCAGTTAGAACATTGCACAGAGTCTTTTATGAGTGCAATGAGCAGTTTCAAGAGTAAGAAAGACAAGCTCTTTTTGTAGAATGAAATTGAAAAAATAAAAAATGCAAACCATTTACCTTCATAAACTCTTGCTTTTTTTTCTTTTTTATTTGGATATATATGTTTCCCTTCTTTTCAAACAATAATTTCAATTATTATTTTTTAAAAAATATTGTGCAATTAAGACCCTTCTACATAATTTATTAAATAATAAACTTTTGATATTGAGAGTTATTTTTTATTAAATAATTCCTTAGATTGCAAAATAGGAAATTTGTTATTTTAAAATTGAAACCATCTTTTTTGTGTTTGGTTTTGTTTTCTTTTTGGTCCAATATGTTTTCTCTTTTAAGACTTTTTTAAGGAATTGGAGAATGACCAAATATACATAACATACGTATAAACCATGTAAAGATGACGTGAGAGAGTTTATATATTTTATCCGCTTCTATCCATTTCAACTTCAGTGCTTATTTTCACCAATTGTGTTGAGAATATGGAAAGCATACAAGATGCATTTTTGTATAAAGTTACATTATGCTTATAAATTTCATTTCTTGTACAATGTAAGTATAAATTTCATTTCTCATTTTACTTAATTTTGTTGAGATGTAAAATTTATATATAAATAAATCATTACTCGTGTGTATATATATCTTAAAACAAATTACAAACTCACTCAATTATCAGCTCATGACTGTCGCCTATCATATGGTTGAAGGAAGAAACAGTCTTAACTAGCTAATATTAAAATTTACCCAATAAGGAGAAAGTATTGAGAAGCTGAATTTTCTTTTCCATAAGTTTAAAGTCAAGCATTGAAGTGGAGATACATCATGGCTGACAAAAATGGAGTCATGTGAGATGGTGAGAAATGGTCGGTGTGGTTATGATTATGATTACACGTAAATATTTTAATATTTTAAGATTATATAAATTTATTAATATTGTTTTTAAAAATATTAGTTTTTGTTTAATTTAATTATTAATAACAATTAATAACTAAATCTATTAACTAATATCTAATAAAAAAAACTCTAACCAACTATTTAACGACGATATTTAAAAAAAGTTTATAAATTAATAAAATATCAATCAAACTAAACACACATAATAATTTGTTGCCATATAATCAGAAATGGTCAATAACAGGGCAAAGTTGGGGTCAGAGGTTGTTATTAGAGGACGATTTTGGATGTTGGTGGAGGGAAAATTTCAAGTGGGTTTGGTTAGACAAGGAGAACGAGGAGGCCCCTATTCGCTGTCCAATACAAATTTTCTAACTGTGTTGGAGACTTCCATGGACATTTGCAACATTTATGGAAGCACCTTTTTAATTGCCACTTGCCATGTTGACTTTTGAAAGAAAGATTTTCAAATGTTTTAGCGTGGATTGTGTCACGGCAACAACTGAGGTGGGCATCCGGCTGAGTAACCATTCAAGTGGATAATAGAAGGGTTACTCGAAAATCGAATAAAAAAATAAATTTGATTTGGTTTTAATAATTTTTAAGTTTTATTATTTTGGTTATGATGTTAACTAAATAAAGTTTAATTTGATTTCAGTTAAATTTTTCACAAACTAAAAACAAAAAATAAGCCTTTTAAAAAATTAAATTTAGATAAATATAATAAAATATAATAAAATATAAGATAAAATATAATCTATTATTAAAAAAAATTGATTAATATTTATTTAGTGAAAACCAAAACCAAACCAATCAATTTGTGAAAATTTTGATTGAATTTTGATTCTTGAAATTAAAGAAATTTTTTTTGATTATTTTAAAACTAATTTCGATTTCAACCAAAACTGATTTTTGCCCACCCCTAGCAACACATCTCCTTTACAAATCTCATTCCCTATTGTTTAAACTTAATCTTTACCTTTGCACTGAAGCAGTTGACTTTATGTGGGGGAAAAGTAACCAAAATGTTGATCAAATTTTCAGATTTAGGTTTCATTTGACCATAGTTTTTAAGTACATTTTCCGCATAATCTTGTCTTAAAATGTAAATTTATTATTTCAAATTTATTTTAATTAATTTTGTACATACATTTATTAATTTTAATTAATGTTATATATAATTTTAAGATAACAAAAAGATTTAAAAAAAAAAAAAAACTGACAACAGTACAACACATTACAATAATAACAAATGAAGACTTAGTAGTTAAGAAGCAAACTGAATTTTACTTGATACAAAGATCAACTTTTTTATACAAAAGTATTATCTAAATTATGTAAAAATTTGACAGTTACTTAAATCAGATTAGAAAGAAAGGGAGGGCAGGCAGGCAGGCAGGCAGGCAGGCAAGAGAGGAAGGGAGCAGTGTAGCGAACAAAAACTTTCTTGCCAGACCACGTCACAATTGATGATTTTATATACACCACAATACAATAGATATGTAAAGGGCAGGTACCCAGAAATTTAATCAAAGAAAATAAATTAAAAAAGAAAAAGAAAAATGGAAAAGAAACGGGTGGGGGAGTCAAAAAATAGAGGAGCAAAAAAAGAGAATAAAAATGAGGTTTCTACCAAGGTTTGTGCTCCTTTAGCCTGATAGCTTAGTGCAAAATGGTTTACCAGTGTATTGCCCTCCCACCCTTTGTTGCTATGTTTGAGAAGTTGGTGAGAGAGCTCCCTCCGGTCTTCTGGCAGTTTGTCCAGAGACCGATGATTTGTCAGTTCCACGAACATTGTACCTCTCGTAAACTTTTTCCCGGTTTTCTGACCACCAGGTTTCAGCTTGGTGCTCTCCAAATTTTTTCCGGCTGTGGAAACATAACATTTTTCAGTTTGCAGACAAAAAATTATATCATGACATTGGAATGTTTCAATTTCAGTTAGGGACCACCCGATTGAACATAAAGAAAAAGAAGAATGCAGGCAACTACCTGAACCGCACTCGTTTGAGATCCCTGGTTCCATCCTGCAGAGCCACGAGGGTTATATATACACCAGGCTCATACTGTTCAATCCACTCGGCCTCAACTTGATTAACTCCTGCAACCAATGTCAAATTTCTAGACTTCATACCATTTTCACCATCTTGGGAAGGCCCTGATTCCTTCCCATTGGCAACCTCTGAAACACTACTGTTACTCGTCCGAACCCCTAGACTACCATTTGTCAGCTTGGCATCTGGATGGCCATCCCTCCCATTGGTTCCAGGTTGTTCCCCAAGCAATTGAGGAGGTGCCTCACCTCCAGTGGTAGAAGCAGAGTCAACACTAATGGGGGAGGTGAGGAAGGAGCTAGCAATTAAATCTGCTCTGGAATACCGCTCCCCATTTGCATCTGAATGGTGAACTCCATTTGGTTCAAAGCTGTTGGGTAGGAATGCATGTCTAATTTTCTCAGTGTCGTAAACTCCAGGTGGTTGCCTCTCAGCCATATCCTTAAGCTGGAAGTCGAATAAGATTATGTCAATGCAAGGGCTATGAGAAGCAAAAGACACCACAACTGAAAACATGAGATGTAAAATTAAGCTTTGCAAACTGCTAAGATAATAATACTTAGGTTATTACTATGCCCATTATATAAGGAACATTTCAATTATCAAAGTAAAATAATGGCCGCTGAATTCATGCTGTCTGTGGATGCAAGACATAAAAAGAAGAGACCAATATTAACAAGAGGATACCAAAGAAATAAAGGAGGGGAAAATATAATAGAGATAAACCTGTGCAGTAAGTGACTTTATAACTTCCTTTGCTGCTTTAGATTTAGAAGACTCCTCCATAGCCAACACCATAGCTTCCTGAGTTTTCTTTTTTGCTTGTTGAAGCTCCAATTCTTGGAGTTCACATCTCTGTCTCAGACTCTCAACCTAAATAGATCCATAACAATCACAATCAGGTTATTTAAATGAAACACAGTCCAGCCCATGTAAACCACCAACCTATTGCCAGAGGGGGTAATTGGCATCTAAAAACGCCAGCAACCAGAGCAAATATTATAGATACCTGTGCACGCAACTTAAACACTTCTTGATTCAAGAGTTCATTTGTCTTCTTCAAACTATCCGTTATACTCTTGGAGAAAGAAAGTCCTGATGTTGTTGGAACAGGTGTAGCGGAGCGCGGGGGGCTAGGTCTCCTTGAAAAAGGCGAAACAGACCTGGAACCTACTCCAGATGGTGCAATAACAGGTCTAGGAGCTGTCCTTCGCAGGTCAATAGCTGCAGACAAAACAACATCCTTCAACTGTAACATAGATGGTGCTTGTGCAGAGCGAACCAGGGGAAAATATGTTTCAGTTTTTCTTCCTTGTTTGGCTGCTTTGTTATCCAACTGCTTGATTAAATCCATATTAGATGGTAATGCTGACTTGGCCAACCTTATCTCAGACTTATCCAACCTGTCCTTGTTTTCACCTGAGAGGCGAGGTACAGAATTCCTCCTATTACCTGCTTCTGAGAACTTGTTCAGTTTGGTAAAACAGGAATCACAAACACGATACAGTTTCCCTGGATTAGGAGCCAAAGCTGCCCTTAATGCTTTTCTTGAACTACATGAATGACAGTGCACCAGTCCACAGTTATAGCAGTTATGCCTTTTTCTGGTAAACCCAAAAGCCTGTCTACATGATGAGCATTGAGACTGCTCAACACCAGATACCCATTTATGGAGACATATAGCTGCACTGTAGTTTGAACCACAAGCAATATATTTCACATGTCTATCCTTCAAAGCTTCAACCAAAGTTGGGGTTTTTCGATCTTCTATGTCTCCATGACCCAATCTCCCATTGGCACCCTTTCCCCATGTATATACTTCATTCCTAGATGTTAAAACGGATACATGATATGCACCACAGGCAATTTCTTCAACACATTCCCCAGAAAGCTTGTCTTCTACAAAAAATGGTAGCTTTCCATCAGCATCGGGGTTCCCAAGTTGGCCATACACGGGACTTCCCATTGTAAATACATGTCCTGAAGTTGTTAAACCAACCGTCAAACTATGCCCACAAGCAATGTTGTGAAAATTGTAATCAATTAGTGCTGGCACACATGTGGGTTTAAGCTGAGGTTCCTTGTCTCCATGTCCAAGTCGATTCTTGTCTCCATCCCCCCAAGTAAACAACTTCCCTGATAAAATGCTAGCACTAGATTGTGTGACAATAACGTCCACAACAGCAGCAGTATGCCACACACCACAAGCTACAGCAATTGTCCTCAATCCAGATAGCGATTCTACTTCTCTAGGATATGGAACATTTTCTCTGTCACCATGGCCCAAGACACCAAAAGTGCCATCACCAAATGTAAAGAGCTGCCCAGTTGATGTTATCAGGGCTGTATGCCATGGACCACAAGCTACCGAAGCAACTTGAAGTCCCTCAAGAGGACCTGAGATTCTCTTGGGTATCCAGTGGCTGACATCAGTACCATGACCAAGAAGCCCAGCATTGTGTGTTCCATCACCCCAAGTGTAAAGTTCTCCAGCCATTGTCACAGCACAAGTATGAAACTCTCCACAGGCAACAAAGTCAACACTAGTAACTGCCAATGATTCAAGAAAACGAGGTTGAATAACATCCTTTCCAACACCATGGCCAAGCCTTCCTCCAGATTCTTCACCCCATGTGAAAACTTCACCTTGCCTTGTCACCAAGGCAGCATGCTTGACTCCACAGGCTATATGATGTACATCAAGAACTACATTGGACTCTAGAGGCTTGGGAAGAAGCACATCTGCTCTTGTGCTCAAATAGCTAGCATTCTTATCTGCCCCAATCTTCAGAACATTGTCACATATAACCTCACCCCATATGTACACATCCCCTAGAGCATCGCAATCATCTGGTGCAGACCCATGGCTGGAAGTGCTAGGGGCACTAGAGACACTAACTCGAAAAACATCTGAATTTGATCCTTTTGCTAGCATATTTGTTCTGTCTGATGCTACATGTGACCTTTCAAAATGTACAGAATTCTCAGTCCTTAAACTTGTTGGAGGAGAATTTGGTTTTAAAGTGACAAGAACCTCAGGGGAGCTAAGATCTCGAGAGGCACTGACAGAACTATCACTTGCACTATTGGATGTCAGGTCTCTGCTATCCTGAAATTGATGGGTCATGAATTTTTTATGTTGGAAACAATTAACAACTTCAGATGTAATGAGAAAACAGCAATTATAATCTTTCTAACTAAACAATATACCAGATAGAATGAGTTTGTTTACCTTTAAAATAAACAGTTTTTTGAAACTAAAGAAATAAAGTAAGCCTTTTTAATATTATTATCCAAGTTTATTAAATCATATAAATCTGATGGAATAACCAATCAATTGCTTTTATTCCTATATTCCATATGGTTAGCAAGATATTTCTTCCAATTGACTACAAAAAAGACCCTATTCCTTAGCAAGATGCTATAGTATTTCAACAATGTAAAACAGGCCACTTGTAATGGCACAAAATGCTCCCAGAAACAGAATAACTATCAGTAAGTTTGGCAGAGTTACATCAAGGTACAGGCCTCCATCACTCCGGCCATCAATTTTTGATCGCCCACCTTGACCAGAAGATATTAATGCTTTGAGGCCTGCAATCCACACCTCAGCCTCAACTTTGTCCTTGCAAATCTAGAAGCAATAGCATATTAAATCATCAAAAATGCAGGCAAGAGGATAAGTCAATGAACAACACTTATCATCTGTCTATTAATAAAATACAAACTCTCATCAACCATCACTAACCAGATCAAGTGACCGTTTTCCGTTGTTGTATGCAAGAGAGAAGGATAAATAATCTTTCTCAGGATGGAGATGCCGCTGGAAAACAGCCTGATAGCACATCAAAGAGATGAAAGTTAAACTCTCCATTATGCAAATGTAAGCCTAATATTAATCAGATGGGGATAGGCTAAATACTGTGACAAAAACACCAGAGAATTTAATAAAAAAATCTTACAGTTTTTTGTCCAGGAATAATTTTCGAGACTGAGGCTAATTTCAAACTCCTTTCACCACTGCTTGATGTCCAGATTAATGATGTCTCATCCTGTGACATTCAGAAATAAGAATAGTGACTCATTCATACAAAAATTAAGCAAGCACAGAATTATAGGTTGACTTAAAGAGCACACACTAAAAGAGCAGGAAAAAGCAGAAAGATTAACAATTTCATTATCCTTAAGCTTATTACATAAATATCTATATATTAAAAAGTAAGAACAGAGGATTACCAGCCTTATATATGAGTTTTCAAGGTTGATTTAAATCTTCGAATACAATTTCAAGACGTTAAAACATGCTCCTTCATATGTTTTAACAACTCCATTTTCCTTCTTAAGGTCAAAAGTGGTAAGATACATCTGATAGGTCTGTTTTCTGTTTTGCATCATAGATCACTTAAAAACCAAAATTTAACAATTAATTCCACCTTGCTACATATTAAAAGAATGGCTCAAACGTGAAGCCATAGACAAACCATAATCACTTTTCAAATAAAAGCAGACCCCTGAAATTTGTATGATTTCATCCATAGCAAATTATGACCAATTATTGTGTGCTTCTTTCCTTTGTCAAAATTTCAAGTAGCAGAATAAGGCAAGAATGTTAAGAGTGCAAAATCAGAACCACATTCAATCCAACTATACTAAGCGAGACTCAAAATGACATAAAAGTACATGAACTTTTAATCAGATTTTCCCTCAGCCTCTCCATATTTGACACTTTCTTCAAAACGTTTCATAATCAAAGCGGAAATGACAGTGCTGACAAATGAAACAAATCTAAATCAAAACCTTCAGAGCCAAACTTACATTAGAAAGTCTAAATCGATAAAACTTAGGCTTTCCCTTGCGACCATATTTCAGAAGTTGAGCACCCTTCTTCAAGGCAATTAATACCTGCAAATGGGCAAAACAACGTTCAACAAACTCAAGACAACAACTATACATACAAAAATCATATCATGTACAATTAAAACTAGCAATATGGTACAAATCAACAAACAAGATGACAAAGAACCCATAAAACTACGGCAAAAATGCTACTTTAACTTTCATTTATTCGATTTTTCTTTGCTAAAATTCACTAGTAATCAAACAATCCATAAACCCGCTGTTCAATTATTGTGCTTTGAAAATGTTCAAATGAACACGCACAACTGAATTCATCTCCAGAACATAAAGCACCCCTAATCAAAGCTTCCTTCGTTCATTATCAATTACATCAACAACACAAACCCAAAATACCAAAAGAAAAAAACAAAATCTAGTCATCTAGTCTACAACCCAAAAAGCACATAAATATTTCAGCCATTTTGCAAAATAATTAAAATAAAAAATGCCGAGAAAGCTCTCAGTCAAATTACTCACTATGATCGGCCACTTAAATTCAAAACACAAACAAATTAGGGGGGGAGGAAGAACAGAAAATTCTTAAGGAGATCATGGCTTCAAAATTTTGAGAATTAGTAAACACGTGCATAGACGGCGCATGTACGGAGACCGAAGAGAGAGACCTGGTCGATGTCACGATGGGCATTCCCGTAGCTAGCAAGATCTGCCATTCCATCTGAGGAATTTACCAAAACGGCGCCTCCCTCTGCGATCGCTCCCCGGAGCTCCGTTCATCATCTACAAACAACACCTCTGTACTCCTCTTTGTCCGCAGGCTACCATCCACAGCCACCTCTCAAAACCACAAAAACGAACAACACCAAACAAAGAAAAACCTTAGCCAGCAATCCGCACAAAAACTCCGCAGATCTGCAACTCTCCTACAAAACCAAAACCCTAGCACTCCTAGTCACAAGCAACCAGCAGCCTCTTGACTTGACTGAGAACAAAGCTTTGTCAAATGCGGCAGCTTCGCAGCAGTTACAGACTTACAGGGTGAGAATTCCGACACGGTGGCGATGGTAACCGGACGTACCTGACGGAAAGCGGAGGAATTTATGAGGAAGGAGCGAGAAACGGAAGCCTGAAGCGTGTTGGTGTTGGTTTTTTTTTTTTTTTGATACGGAGTAGTCAAAGTTGAGAAAAGTAAGCAGGAAATCGCCTGAGGTTGAAAGGAAATGAGAAGACATTTCCAACGCAGAATATGTTATTTTAGAATTTTAATTAAATAAAATAAGTTCTCTTTTAGCAATTAAACTGACAAAATATTAATTTAAAATTACCATAACAGTACCATTTAGCTCGTTGCTGGTTACCCTGTTTTACCCTTTTTCGTTTTTCCTACCGACTTTTCTTAAATTTGGTTGTTTTTTAATTATTATAATTTTTAATTAAAAAATAATAATGTGTATAAATTTTAATTTTTATTAAAAATTAGAGTTATAATTTAAAAATAATTTTTTAAATAAATATTTTTAAAAATTAATTATTAATTTTAATATTTTATTTATATAAATTATTTATGTAAAATTTTAAATTAATTAAATATATTTAATTAATTTATTAATTATATAAAATTTTATACTATTAAATATATATTAAAAATATTAATTTTTTAATTAAACAATTATAAATATTTTATCAACTTAAAAATTAACTCTTTGAAAAATTACAAATTTTAATTTACTAAGCTATGAATAATAATTTGACTAAACACCCATCAACCATTTTTTTTGGAACAGTAGGTTCTCCCAAGCCACCACCCAAATACTCCCAAAGAGATAAGGGGCTATTTGGCTGACTCTTTTTTTTTTTTTTTTTAATAAATCATTCACAAAACCTAAAAACTATGATGATTGAAACAATTAGTTCTACAGTTTACTCTACTTGATTTTTTTTTTTATTGTATACTGATTCTAATATAGTTGTTTAGGGTATCAAGTACTACTTGATAAGTTGTTCCATGCTATAGTTATTGTCATAGCTATTCTTATATTTTGTTATATTGAAGCTAAATAATATGTTAGTGTTGAATAATTATATTTTAAAAAGTTAAGGAATGTGTTATTGCCAATCTTAGTATTTGCTTATCATATGGAAAATGTTAGTGGGTAATTATGAAAGATTAGTTTGTAAATTTAGAATACTAATATATGAATTTGATATGAAATTGTATTTTTTTTAATTTGAATAAACAAAAGAATTAGTTCAAACTAAAGATGACTTTATAAATCAGATTTGTATCCATGATTTAGATACAATTACAAATACAATCTTTCTGAATTGCAATTACAAACAAGGCTTTGGACGTGGGATGCAGGGGTACCGAACCTGTTCAGCTGTTGTATTTTTATTTATATTATGGATCGTTTGGTGCAGTTTCTCAACTGTTTTAATTTTTTAATATTATTTATATTTTATAAATTTAATTTTTTTTTAAATTTATATTTTTAAATATTTTTTTAATTTTAAAAAAATCAAAAACAATAAATGTTTAAAAGTTTTAAATTTAAATTTTTTATAAATTTTATTTTTATTTACTTTTTACTTATTTTTTATTTTTAAAAATAATTTTTAAAATTTTTTTTAATAAAAATTTAAATTTATCACTTATAAAAAAAATAAAAAACTCAAAACTGCACTAAACAGACCTATATGTTGTAGTAGTACGGTAAATTCCAGTGTGAACGTGATGTTTCCGTGTCGGATGGTGGGTGCATGGTGCCGGGAGGGAGGCACGCAGCACCCTGCGGGCCATTCATGTAATTTTGAAGCCGAAGAAGTTTGTCAAATGACGGAAACACCCCGGGAGCTGTAGCAACGTGGCAAGAAGTCAGTGGCATAGGTGTAAAAAGTGTTTGAATTAACCATATAGACATATTTAATAGTTAATACTTAAATATTATTAATAATTTAAATAATTTAATTATAATTTTTTTATTAAAAATAAAAAATTTTAAATTTAAATTATTTGACATATAAATAGAATAAAGTAAAGGATAGAAAAAACTTTTTTTTTATTGTGTAATTAAGATAAAAAAAACTAATACTTAATATTTAATGATTGATAATCACTTATTATTATTAGAATATCTAGTCCATTTTATTAAAAGAATTTATTTAATTTATAACTTTAAACATATGATAAATATATTTTTTATAATTAATTTATATAAAAATTATAAAAATTAATACTTATTTTTTTATCATTGACATAATTAATTTTAATTAATTAATTAATTTAAAATTAATATTTATCCTTCTTACATAAATTCATTAAAATATATGTTTATTATATTTTTAATTTATAATCTTTATTAAAATTAACTGTCGAAAATTATTTGCAAACAAAACAAACACCCGTAATGGCTTGGTGGATGTGGGTCAGTGTGATTGGGAGTTGTGTTGGAGGGAACCAATGGGAATGTAGTGCCGAGGTGAAACCAAGTTGATCTTTCGTTGGATATCTTGTGACGTCGCGTCATCTTTCCTCAAGAACAACAATCTCGGGATGCAACCTTTAATTTTTGGCTAAAATTTTAAATTAGACCCTTAAGCTTTTTTGGTATAAGATTGAAGCCCCTAAACTAAAATATATGAGATATAGACCTACGAACTATTTCGGGCATGATAAATTTGACTTTTTTAAACGGCAAGATGGGATGTGACGTCCATCTGCCGTTTACAGTTTGCCACTACAGGCCTAGGTGTGGCCCTTTTAAATTGATGTGGTGTCTTTGCTGGAGTGGTGAACAGCGACAATATTTTTTATATAATTTTTATATATTATTAAATAAATAAATATATTAAATATTA